GCCAAGTCGTTTGCGTTTAATGTTGTTTCCTGTTCACCTCAAACTGTGTCCTTGTTAGGACTCACACCCGCTCTTGTGCCTCAAGGTACTGGGAAAGGAAGGGGTCGCAGAGGGTAAGCAGGGATGAGTCCACAATTTACACAGCCCATCCTGCAAGGGGACCGCTACCTGAGTTGCTATTTCCAAGTAGATTTTCAGGCCCAGCGATTCCTTCGTGCCAATCTCCATTACCATACCTATGGCTTGTTTGTATTACGCTAGCACCTAAAGGCGAGGACTAGCCCCATTGCACTGGGCACAGTACGTAGACACAGGAAGAGACCTTCCTGGCCCTGAGGAGCTTGCAAGGGAGAACAGGAGCATTAACATCCCCATGTTACAGGTGGGGAACTGAGACCCAACGAGGCTAAGTGACTTGCCCCAGGGTCACTCAGAGAGGCTGTGGCAGAGTTGGAGATTGAACCTAGACCCCCCTGTTCCCAGTCTGGTCCCTGCAAACTGCCTCTTTCCATTTCAAATGCTTTTAAAAGCTGCTAGCTTCCTTTTCGGTGACAGCCCTCTGGAACTGTAGGTCTGACCGAGAATCCTTTTAGCTGATCAGGCTCTCACTGCCTCCAGCTCTCTTCGGCGAGGAATTAATGTCCACTCCAAGCTGGGATCGGTCAGCATTGCTCACTGGTGCATAACTCCCCACCACATCTTCTGCCTCATTGTTTCAGGACGGCTTTCCTGCCCCTTTTCTGTTCTCTTAATCAGGACTTTCCGGATGCCCTCCCAATGGAGGGCTTTGCCTGCACATTGTCCTTGGCATTTGTCCTTTTGTGGGGGGGGGAGGGGTCACCTTCTTTTCTCTGAATCATTTACTTGTTTTGCAAACAAGCTGCTGCATAAATCAGCTGGCTGGGGCAGGCTGTGGAGCTCTAATATCTCTGGCTGGGACTCATCTGTGTTGGGAGGTGGAAAGCTTAGGCCAGATCACGGGCAATGCCCTCATTGTACACTAGCAGCTGTGCATTAAGATAATGGCTATAATCAAATCATGCTTCGGGGCTTCAGCTGGTCACCTGCAGGAGTCAGGAAGGAGCTTTTTTCCCCAGTAAGTACTCAATTGGCTGGATGTGGTGAGGGGGGCCAGTTGGCCAGCCTGAAACATCAGAGATTGACCACAGGTAGAAACGGACAGGACACCCTGAGGGGGCACAGAGAATCCCGTTTCTAGCTGCCTAGCTGGTGGATCTTGCTCACATGCTCAGGGTCACACTCATTGTCAGATTTGAGGTTAGGAAGGAATTTTCCCTGAGGTCAGATTGGCTGGGACCTGGGCAGGGGGGACTGGGGACTTCACCTTCCTCTGCGGCATGGGGATCATGCATGCATCTGGGTATATCTCACCTAATCAATTCCCTGCCATTGCTGGGGCCTGGGTCTCTCCCATTCTCTCAATGTGGCACACCATTTAGTCTCCTGAGGGCTGAAATGCTTTTGTCTAAAGTCTTTGGGCTCAATATAGGTGGATCTGGATGAAAAACAACGGCCTGTGTGACACGGGAGGTCAAACGAGGGGAACTCATGGAGCCTTCTGGCCTGAAACGATGAAATTGGGAGTTTGAACTTCCTCATTCGGTCTCCAGTGTTGCCTTACTGAAGTGCTGCACAGAGGTTTGGGTGCAGGCAGGAGTCTGTGCATCTACCAGTGAAACACAGCCTTTCTTGCACCCCAGTTAATTAGCCCAGTCGGTTGGAAAGTCACTAAGTGAATAAATAGAAACGACAAGTTAATGATTATCAAAGCTGGGGATAACAGAGGACGTCAGGAGTAACAAGGCCTTGAATGAGGTCATGGAAAAAGCCTACGTATCCTGGGAGGCGCTAAGGGATATCCCCTGTGTGAGGGGGAGAAGGAAAGGGAAGAAACCTGTCCAATATCCCCTTCATTTTGAGGGATGTCTCTCAGTTTAGTCCTTATGTTCCGCATAGGTTTGGTGTGCCCCTGCCTTTTATTGCTGAGAATTATTTATATTAGAAAAGTAGGCTCATGAGACAGATTTCCAAAAAGTCTTTGATGCTAAAGGAACCAATCCCAATCCCACAGCATTTGGCATTTTCCTGCAAGAATAATTTGTGTGTCCCCCTCATTCTGGGGTTTTCTTTAGGGGTTTGTGACAGAAATCACATCTAAGTAGAACAAGTTCCCCCCTACCCTGTCATGCTGCCCTGTCTCTTCATGACAAGTTGTACAAACCTCCCAACCGGAGCCCATGAAATGCAGCACTGACATACGAACACCCCTGAACCTGGAATATTGGGCTCATCCCCAGATCTCTGGAATCCATCTTTTCACAGCCGGCTTCCAAGCCAGGAACTGTGGCTAAGAAAGTAGGTCCAATATGTCAAACTGGACAGCCTCAAGTTAGACACCTAAATCAAAACTGCCTTTGTCCACTGAGTTGGAACTTGGCTATTAAATTCTGAAAACTGTTGTTCTTAGTCTCCAAACCCTCCCGCCCTCTCCCCCGCCCCCCAAAAAACCCCTGTTAACCTAATAGTAATATCAGCAAACCAATTGTTGGCACATTTGGGTTATTCCTCAAACTGTTTTCAGAATAACGGGTGGGAGTGTATCAAACGCCAGGCTGTCTATGAGCTTCTGAGCTTTCTGCTCTGGTATCTGGGCTTCAGTCTCTATATAAGGCCTGGTCTACACTAACCCCCCAATTCGAACTAAGGTACACAACTTCAGCTACGTGAATAACGTAGCTGAAGTCGACGTACCTTAGTTCGAACTTACCGCGGTCCAGACGCGGCAGGCAGGCTCCCCCGTTGACTCCGCGTACTCCTCGCGCTGAGCAAGATTACCGGAGTCGACGGCGAGCACTTCTGGGTTCGATTTATCGCGTCCAGACAAGACGCGATAAATCGAACCCAGAAGTTCGATTGCCTGCCGCCGAACCAGCGTGTAAGTATAGACAAGCCCTTAGAGTTGTTACCCCGTTAATGTAAATTAAAGGGTAAATATACATTATCTGACATATACCCCCTGTCTGGATTATCTCTGTATCATTATAAAGGCCTCATAAGAAACAGCTCTTGCGGGACATTTGGTGTATAAAGATCCCGTAATTATTCTAGTACCTTTGTAGAGTCTCAGACCCCTGGTCTGAATCAGGATCCTATTTCAGTACTTTCAGGAGACATGCAGGAGGTTCAGGGGAAATCTTGAGAGCTGGAGGTTTTGGGGATATCTGGCAAATTAGTCACTGTTGATATAGGTGTGGTGTAAGGACCTGCATTAAACTGCAGAATAGAATAGTTCCTCGCTGAGATAGACTCATTTAAAAAAAAATGCCATTTACCATGTGGCCAATCAATGTCAGGTCAACAAACCCAGGAGACCAGTTGCTGAAGCAGATACCACAAGCTATCAGCATGATCTCAGCAGTGAAAAATTCCTCTTACTTCCCTTCAAAGAAAGAAGCTCTCCCTCTTCTATCTCCGACCGCAAAGTCACCCATTAGCCAACTCTTGCGTACATGAAATTTCACAGAGCATTGAAGTTCCTCCTGCTGATGTTGCAACAAGGGCTAGGGAGACATCAAAAATCCTCTGCATATACAGAAAGAATTCGGATGGCTGTCAAGGAATGTTCTGAACCGGTTCTGTAAATCCCTGGTCTCTTGCTTCCCTACCCCATCACAGCCAGAAAACGAAAGAATATAACCTTTGCAAAACTTTAAAAAAAGGAAGAAGAAATAAAATTGCCACCACAATGAGTCAGGGTTTTTGCACTGAGATCATGGCATTGAACCAAGCATCCCATTAAAGGCCATTTGCTTTCATCCTCCTTAATACAAATAGGACTTATGACTGAATAGGAACCTCTTTCATGTCACCAAATTCTCTGGCTACCACCCAACAAATTTTGTGGCACTGGAGTTGGAAGTGAGAGGGGAAGAGGATGGAAAGTCCTACATCATGTAATAGAAAATGATCCCTGTGCTATAGGTTTATTGAACAACCTTCTATAACTGAAGAGATCATTTTATCCCTGCTATAGAAGTCTAGGGGGCAGGGAATGTCAAAAGAACCACTAGAATCTAAGAGGGAAAAAATCTATCTGCTGTATTCTTTTCTATGGGCCCAGATCCTCCAACTGAGAGAGGTTGAATTACACCGGCTGAGGCTCTATCTCTGTAGGCTTTTAGAGCAATTTCCCTAGAATCTTCTTGACTTTCTGTTGACCCCTCTTGGTTTTATCCTTATTTATTTCTAGAGTACTTTACAACAGGCGCTCTAGCTTCAGTAGAGGGCCACAGTATGGGAAAGTCATACTGTGACTTTGGCTCTTTGCACTGCTGTGGGGCTGAGATCTGAGGGGTGCGTGTGACCCCCCAATCCAGCACACACAGCCTTTTCACACGGCTCCCAAGAGGGGCCACTGAGGGCCCAGCCCTTCACTCCCTCTTACTCCAAACAGACTTGGTGATTGTACTGGCCTGTATCTCTGCACCGGGAAGAACTATCACTTCGTGCTTTGCCCCCATTGGGAGCTGAAGCCCATGTCGGCCTGGACACTGGGACACATGTATGTTCCATGCCATTCCCTCCCTCAGTCTCGCACTTCTGCAGCTGCCTGGGTGAAGCATCAACACCACACAACGCTCCCCTGTGCAAAGGGCTGGCTTAAAGGGCTTGGGGGGGAGAGGGGGGGAGACTTGCTCTTCAAATCCACAGATGCTTCAATGAGATGTAAAAGGCCCAGTGCTAAAGTAACTCTTAGCAGCTAGTTCCTCTTTTCAAGCCAGATCGTTAATTAAGATGCTGAGCAGGTAGAAGGAAGTAAACTCCAAAAATGTGACCACGTGGAACCTCCCATTCAGGGTAAGTGAGCTGGAGAGGGAGGAGAAATCTGCATCTGCCTCATCAAGAAGCCAGTATAAATAGTGTTGCATCTGGCACTCCTCCCCAGTACAGGTGTGTTCTTAACAGAAGCAGAGGGACTAGCAAAGCTCATCATGGCAGCCCTTATCTCCACACTGCAATTGCTCTTCCTTGGGGCTCTGATTTCCCCCGTCTATTTGCAGGATCCTTGTCAACTTATCCAGAATACCACTAATCCTGGCTCTTACAATCTATCTGTGAACCCTGCTGTCTACATGGCAAACACAAACTACAGTGGTAAGTTGACTCTCTCTCTGGATCTAGGAACTTTCCTTCTGCATAGAGCTCGCTTTGCCTGGATGTTCTCTTGAGTTTTATGGTGTCTGCAAGGTGCAAGATTGAGCATGTATTTGAGCAGCTTTTATGTCAGGTGGGAAACATATAAAGAAAGGTATCAATAATCGTTTGTGCTTTAATGTCAGTGCTCTCCAGGGTCGCTGGCAGATGCTCTCTCCTTGCCTGCAGCTGGGATTCGGTTTTTTTATATCTTCCAAAACTGCGCAGCAAGACTTGGAAACTGGTTGTTTGAAAAGGCATGACATTTGGGGTGATTTTCCCCCCCCTCACTATGAGAATTCACTCTTTCCTTGGGAAATAGAAGAAAGGACAAAGGTGTGGAGGCCAGGGCTTAAAGGGGGTGAGGGCAGGGATCACAAAGGGTCACAGATCTAGCAAAAATAAATAAGTTTTAAACTGAGCTGGGTTGCATTGTTTTACCAAAGCTGCTCTGCGCCCTGCCCCACCCCCCCTTCAGATCATGTAAGCACTGCTGGAGGCTGTTTGGGGCTGTTCTGTTTGGGTGTTAGGTGGTGAAAACCAGCCCTGAAGTTGCTTTCACTGCTTTTTATGCACCCTCTGATACAGTGATTAGTAGCCTGATCCTGGTCTTGTCGGCAAATCTTCCATCGACTTCAAAATGAGTAGGATCAAGCCCCCAGTGCTGAATAAATGTCTGGATTGACAGACACTCTGGTTCCTACACAGAAGTGGTTTACCCTCAACTGGTGTAAATCTGCGTATCTGCATCTGAAATCAGTGGAGCTATGCTTCTTGCCACTAGGTCAGGATCTGACACAATGAGCAGCCACTTTGTAAAGTTAGGGATGGTTCCAGGTGTTGTGTGGGGTTGTTTGTTTTTGGTTGGTTGGTTGTTTTTTTGTTTTCTTTCATTTCTATACCAAAAAGAATTGAACACAACTGCAGATTAATTTCATTCCAAATGCCACTTGCAACCAAACTTGGCTCTAATTAACATGAGAGCGCAGGCACACATGCACACACAGTCTGGTGCTAGTTAACATTTATCTTGTTGGCACCTGGCAGTCTGGCTGGTTTCTTTGAAACGTGGCTCAGGATAAACTCTCCCTCAAGCTGAGAATTTCCATTGCCAAAGGGAGCCTTTCCCATCATCAGGGGTTACAATGAGACACCTTGGAGCCTGCTTTGCTGCTTACGGAGTAGCTTTCCTTATACAGTGAGTAGCCCACTGACTAGATGGTCTTTGTAATAAAGATGCTGTGGCTAGGGGTACTAGTAAGACTGACAGAGAGCCCCAGTCTTTGCAGTGAGGTGCAGTAGAACTGTACAAGGTAGCAAGGAGGAATGACCGGGCCTGGTCCTATCAGCTTAGGGGAGAATGGGAGGACTCCGGGCTCCAAAGTCTTCTGCTGCTTAGATTTTTAGGCTAAAAGCAGTTGTCCTGCTCCCCTTGTGTCTGAATCTTCTTTCAGACCCATGTGGATGAGTGGCTATTCCTCTTGGGAACTTGACATTTCCCTGGGGCGGGCGGCGTGTCATGAGGCACCAAAGCCCTCACCCCATAGATCGCAGCATTCTCTGCTTCTCTCAAAACCCCTGGAGCCTGGTGGGGTTTTGTGGGTGCTGTTTCTCAGCACAGAGAACTTACTTTTTCCTCCTCTATCTTCTCTCTAGTAACCATCAGTGGAGTCGTGGGCGGCAGCTTGGTTATCCTGCAGGCCCTCAATTCCCAGAACTCCTCTGTGGGCCAGTGGGACGCTCTAGTTGTGAACTGCAGCAACAGCCTATCAGTAGTGCAGCAAAATATCACCAACACAGCCACAGTACAATGGACATCTCCAACCAGTGGGTCAGCCCCTGTGGAAATAAGGTAATGCTCTTCCTTACCTGGGAGAGGAGACGGCGTATGGGGAGCAGAGCTATGTTCTGCAGGAGGGGTGCATGAAATGGCAGCCGAGCTGTGTCTGCTTTGATTAAAAGCTTTAATGGAAAGGTTTGGGGGGGGGGGGAGTGCACCTCAACCACAAAACAATCAGTAAATTCATCACCGATGAGCTGTAAGCATGGACTAGGACTTTGTTGTACTAGGTACTGTATGCGCACACACACACCCCCAAAAAGCCCCAGCCCCGAAGTCCTTAAGTATTCAGTTGTGGCTGTTCCCACAGCTTATGCCTTTGCAGGCCATTTTAACCATGCACCTGTCCCATGACTCCTCTGTTAAGAGCTGGAGTTGGAACAAACCCCTCTGTGTGCTCCCAATTCTCATTTGACTGCATTTACCCCCAATGGGTGAAAATCCAGAGCGACTCGACCGAACCAAATGGACTTGTACCAGACTGGTCTACACTAACTAATGGAGTTGCATCAGTGGGAAATATTTACCAGAGATAAGGCCTATCAGGCTAATGACTGAGAAAGGAAAGAGTGCAGTGGTTATTTACAACCATTAGTTCTATATTTAATTGTAATGGCTGGCATCAACAGACTTGCAGCTTGGGACAAACATTGGAAAGTGCTGTAAAGCAATAAATGGCAGGAGTATTGATGGCAAATAGTGACTGACGAAATGTCATAGAAACAAAAGATAATAGGGAAATTTATCATATTCGCTCAATAAAAGTAATCTCTTTCTGACTTTATTGTTCCTCCCTTTATCTACCTTTATTGTGGCCTACATTATTCTAGGGAACAGACGTATTAGTGAGACCAAACCCTTGATGTCTGTTGTTCCTTTATTTTGCACAGGGTGCTTGTGACTTTTTCCAATGACTCTACCCTTCCCCAGCTCCAGAAGACAACCCTGAATACAGGTAAATCAGCCTAATATGCATGTGTCAAATGACAATACAGTTGAACAGATTCATTTTTTTTATTGTGGCTTTTAAGAGATAAGAATCGATTCCATCTTTTTCAAGACACAAACCCATTCTCTCCTGTAACGAAATATAAGGCAAAGGCATTAGAGCCAGTTGAAAATTGGTACCCGCACAAAAATGGGGGTCACAAAAATGTCATTGACATCTTGAAAAAATTTCAGCTGGCTTTAAAAGATAGAGTAGATCTAAATGGGAGATCCTCAGCTGGTGTAAATCAGCATCACTCCATTGGCTTCAGTAAGAGGCCTGATCCTCAAATGGTGTAAAGGGCATAACTCCCTCCACTGCACTAAAGCTATGGTGTCTTACACCTCTAGAGGATCATCATTTGCCTGCAGCTTCCTCCTCTTGTGCACCTGAGCACAGTAAGAACTGATTACAGGAACTAAACGGCACACTACAGACTAATTCCCAGTAAATCTATCCGGAAGATTTTCAGGCCATTTCCTTCCTGTAGCAGGAGGATATCACTGTGTTCAGAGCAAAGCTAATCCTGTTCTTGTTCAATGTGGCTGTCTCATGAAGAGGCGTATTCGGAGCCTTAACGGATGGTCACCAACAGCTGCTGCCTGCTGCAGACACACAAAGGAGAGTTCTGATCGGAACAGCACCTCCCAGCCTGATCCGATGGGGCCTTTGAATACAGATCCAATAGGCCCTGCTTGGCACTCAGCCCGTTGTCCAACTGGACACCAGGAAATGGGACACCAGGACCTTTCCAGTCCTAGAATCTATGAATCTATGAAATCACATGCTATTGTGGTACCATCAGTGAAATGATGAGGGAGGGAGCAGGTGCTGTCCTGTGATGTTGGCACAAGGCATGGGATGTGTCCTCCTGCTTAACCTCTCTGCCCCACACACGGACACTGTTGAGATTGTGGCTCCACACACCAAATCAAAGGGACCTCCGCTGTCCTTGATACCTTTTATACTTATTCCATGGAAGGGAGAGACCTCTTCCCCGCCCCAAGGCAACTAAGACAGGATCTTCGAATCCTTTTAATCTGCAAAGCTCCACTGAATTCAATGGAGCAATGCCAGTTTACCCCAGGGGCAGATCTGACCCCAATTTCTGAGCCATACATGCAGCAACAGGAATTGACGCACCATCTTGCGGTGAGCCCACAGCCCATCCACTCCACTGATTTCTAATCCTGGTTTGCTTCTGCATTTCAGCATCTACAGCCTCACCTGGATCGACGACAAACACACCCACCACACCTGCCAGCACCACCAGTTCCGTCTCCACGGTGCAGGCCAGCTCCTTCCTCCTGGCAGCCGTCCACCTGCTGTCACTCTTTGTTACTGGCAAACTGTTCTCCTAGTGGGAAACAGCACCTCAGTTGAGCCACGCCCTTCCATCTTTGCTTTCCTCCTGGGTGCAAGGGTGGATGGCTGATCTACTCAGGAAGTCTCTCTTCTACTGTTATGTATTTAAGAATGATGACTGCACTTTCTTTTACACTCTACTTGACCAGAGAGCTGACACCCAACCCCATTGCCAGCAGCAGGAAACACATGAAGAAATTCTGACACATACTTGTCTCAAGAGTTTTCATGAGCTGAAATGTTCTGTAGCAAGTCAGGATTTTCTACATTCATAGAGTGTAGAACAGCATCGGGTAGAGTAGTCTGATAAAGGTGACTGAACAAGGTAACACCAGGGGTTCCTTCCATCCTGATCTTCTACAGGTCTATGAAGCAGAGACAGCATGTGTCTACCACCAGGAGGGCTAAGCTGCTTTCCACATTAGGGCACTGCAGGTTGATAACGGGCATGGGGAAGGGTCTTCCACAGCTGCTGCTGCATTCCATTTGCTGTGCACACTGGGAACGGAGCCAGTAGTTCCTGTATGTGACTCATCGACAGTCGCTTACAGGGCCCTGACTGGGATGGGGCATTGTAAATCAGTCGGGACTTGCAGAGAATTGTGAAGGGCGGGGCAGACTTACACACACTTCAAACTGATTAAAGCCTGAATGGGATCCAAATTTAAATGATCATGAAAGAAGTAAATGCACCCTGTTTTTCAGGCTAACCTGCCATGTGGAGGCAAGTCCCTTCTGTAAATCAAGCTAGAACCCCCTGCTCACAGGACCTTCTCCATGAAGGCCCCCTGACTGGAATTCACTGCCAGTTTCAATTCTTGGTCCAAGATAACCTGTTGTACTTCAGGGCACCCTGCAATACCCCCCTTGATTTTTCTCTGGTGTTTTGGGGCAGGACCCTGAGATGAAGGAAGGGTTAGGTCTCTGAAATGAGTAGGAAATTTTTTTTCATAGACAGCAGATGATTTTCACTGCCATGTTGGCTGGAATGTGCCATTGAATTTGTTGATCCGTTTTCTTGTTTAGATTTTGGGGGGGTTTTGTATGGAGTGTGTTCGTTCAGAAATTGTTAAATGGCTGGAGAGAAGTAGATTTTCTTACACAAATCTAAATAAATAAATGAATAAAATTCTTCAGATTGTGCTTGGGACTCTTTCTTGGCTTTTCCGTGACCTTTCTTGGAAGAGCTGGGTGACAGAAATTACTCTAAATACTGTGAAATGCATGGTTTCTGCCTGTACATGAGCACTTAAATGTTACGGTGAAAGACCAAGGTCAAAAATCTCCCTTTAGCTGCTCCCTGGTAATCTTGTTCAAGTCAATCGGGTGTAACTAGGGGTGAATTGTTTGTTTCCTCCAAAGCATGTGGCACGTCTCAACTGCAAAATGTCTAGTTGCTGGCTGGCTACATCCAGCCATTTTGCCGTGTGAAGAATGGGAGAATGGATAGTTGTGTTCAGAAACAATAAGTCATTGCGAGGCATCTGGGGTACATGCAACAATATTGCACCGATTCATGCAGGACGCTCAGAGAGGCAGTAACACAACTCCATAATCCACCAGTCATTCCCTTCCACCTCAGGATACTGGGATCCAAAACCTGGGTCAAAGATTTAACTAAACCTCTCACTTCTTAGTATCCCAACGTGAACAGGGATGTAAACTTCCCTTATTATCCATAGAGCTAGGCCCCCCCCCCCCCCATGAGCCCACATTCAATTTCTGTGGAATTTAGTGTTAATTGGTCAATTTCAATTTGAAGTGGACTAAGGGTATGTTTACACCCAGCCGCTAGTTCGGTGGCTGGCAATCAAAGTTCTGGGTTCGACTTATTGCGTCTTGTCTGGACGCGATAAGTCGAACCAGGAAGTGCTCGCCGTCGACTGCGGTACTCCAGCTCGACGAGAGGAGTACGGCGGAGTCGACGGGGGAGCCTGCCTGCCGCGTGTGGACCGAGGTAAGTTCGAACTAAGGTACTTCGAACTTCAGCTACGTTATTCACGTACCTTAGTTCGATTTGGGGGTTTAGTGTAGACCAAGCCTAAATGGTTAAAGGTTCAAGCCAGAGTGCAGCAGAGCACTGTGAACTGGGAGGCGGTTTGCAGGTGGGGGAATGGAGCTGGGAAAGGAAACACCATGTTTTCAAGGAGATTGAATGCCCAGGAACAGTGGGTTCCTGTTGTTCCTGCCTTCTGCATATTGACTCCTCAGTCATCAGGACATGGGTGTTCTTACGAAAGGTGAGACTTTTTTGCTAAAGAAATGTGTGCAACATTTATAGCCTAAAACAGAACACGCATGATTCAAACCCCCATGTGATTGTCACCACCCAGCTGGAGAGGTGGGTGCTGCTTCTGAAATGCATTTGTTTGTTACTTAAATATATCCCGTTGTCTCTTGGCCAGCTGACAACTTAGGAAGGGTGGTTTTGTGATCCCAGCCACTCATTCGTTATGCTTTTCTCTCTGCTTCAGCACTTCTTCCTCCCAAATAATGGGGGGGGGGGATAAAAGGATGTCGCCTCTCACTGCCTCCCTCCCTCCTCTGCATACTGTTGAGGCTCTGAGTGAAAGGGTCAGAGCTGTTTTAAAGGGACATGTGAGGCCGGATTAAGCCTCTGACTTAATATTCATGGGAGTTGTGGAAAGTCAGTTCCATGGTGAATCTGAACCTTACACTCCAGGACTCGCCTTTCAGAGACTCGCCTAGGCTGAACTGCAGCATTAAATGCACAGTCAGCTGGCGCTAGCAGGCAACTGGCTGCGAGAGAGTGGCACCTCGGGAACCTGCAGTATGTAGGCTACTCAGCCAGCTCCAGGCCTCTGAACCATAGTGACAAACCCTAGCCTGGCTTGTGGGATCCATGGGTCTCAGAGATGCTGGGCTTGAAGGCCAGAGAGTCTGTCAGCATGGGGGGAACTGTCAAATGATGGCCTCATTAGGGGAGAGGGTGTCCCTTAAGGAAGGCTTTCAGGGGGAACCTCCAGGATCAATCAATTCTGATTTTGGAATCTTCCATCCCTGGAATGCTGCCCGCTAGTCTTTCCCTGCCCCCCTCCCCTCCAGTGACATCAAAACACAAAGGTAAACAGGTGGGGCTATTGTCTTGCATTTCTACCCTGAAGGGTTATTCTGACCTCAAGAGGTGCAGCTGCGAAAACAGGCCAGAGTCTTTTCCTTTAGCTACTGGCGCCTCCAGCGAAGTGTAAATACCTGACTCCCTGGGAGCTTTCAAAACAAAGGCTCAGGAGTAACTTGATAGATAGATAGTATCTGTCACCTGATATGCTTTCGGCTTGCCAGCTTCACTCCCTTAATTATCTGCTGCTCTGATCTCTTATCACATTGCCCACTTGCCCCCTGCTCTTTCAGTGATGCTCATTCTGGGAACTTTTTTCCAGGTTACCACTTAGGGATGAAATGCTCTCTTTATAGAACTGATTCCTAGCACCACTGCCCCTCGCTTCCTTCCAGTACCGCCTCAAGCCCCATCTCTGATGTGACACCCACCAGAAATCTGTCTCCAACGGGGGCCACGTTGTTCAGCAGACGGGGGGGCTTATTGCAGAGGCTTTAATGATTTTGGAACTACCACATGATCTAATTATAGTTCCCACCATCCTTCCTTGGGTTGGTCACATTCACTTGGTGCTGCTGCTTTCCTATTGCATTTCAGGACAGGGACCCCCTCTGCATCTCTGTTTGTGCAGCACCTAGCACCGTAGGGCCTCCATCCGGCACCACAGTATAAATAACTATCTAGACTGCAGGGCTCTCAGGCCAGCTTTCAGATGCCACCTACTGATCTTGACAATGGGCATGTATACATTCAGGGCTCCTTAAAACCACGCTTTCTTGCGGAACGTGCAGATCCAGTGGGGTGCCGGTGAGTTTGTGGTTACCCCAAAGATCCTTCCCAATCAGATGATGTGATTTCTCCTAAAATGTCCACTACCAGACTCATGCTGTGCCCTGTAGATCACCTGGATCTTTCTAGATGTTTATCCTGTGCTTCGGATCTAAGCAGTCCATATGCGTATTGACCTAAATTCACACCACCTCTGTATTGCCTGCTGATCAAAGCAAGGGATTCAAAATCAGGATTCTTGGGTTCTAGTCCCATCTATGACATTGATTTGCTCTGTAACCTTGGGCAAGGTGCTTCCTTAATCTGTGCTGCATCTGAAAATTGGGATAATAGTATCTAGATTGCAGAGCTCTTGTGAGGCTTAACGTATTGTTTGCAAAGTGTTTTGCATTTAATAGCTCTTTCATTTGAGCAACTAAAGCATTGTTGGTTTATTATCAAAGGTTGGGGGCAGAATTTTGAATGTATCTTTCTGGCATTCAGGTAGGAATAATTTCCCCTGAGATGAAGATTCCCATGAGCATTAGCCATCCCCAGTGCACTCCCCCTTTTCCCCCCTTCGTTGTTACAAAATAACCATTATTCTGGTGCTACAGAGTGGAGACAAAAAAATTAATACAAAGGAACATCAGAGTTAATGTTTAATCATACCAGGAACTTTGAACAAGCCTTTTCCCCAAACTCAGAACATGCTAAACTTTCTCACCACCCATAGATGAAACCACATGGCCCGTTCCAGGAGGAACGGGATATGTTCCCTAGGGATGAGCACCATCATATTCTGGGAATGGTTGGTTATTTGACCAAGCTCTTCCTGGCTCGTCATGGGGAGGATGGACTGCACTGGGATGCAGCCCATTGGGTTCCTAGAGGCCCAGCCAGGTTGTCCGCTCCAAGTAGTTGCATGCTAATTTTTCCTCCCACCTCAGTGCCTGCCCCTCTGTATAAGGGGGAGTCTCCTCAGCAGTCTTGCAGGGGGATGTTGTGTATTAATACCAGGAAAGCCTTTTGAGATCTGTAGAGGAAGGTGCTGGAAAAGGGTTGAGGATTAATGTGTTGATTGTTTTTATATTTTTTCTTCCTTCTTCCTTTATCCTTCTGTGCCCTTAGGCATATAGGTTGGCCTACAATTTCTGCCATTTATTTTGGTCTTGTGCTGGTCTGTTCAGACTTCTGAGTGTCATGTTCATGGATTTGGCTTCTCTCTCTATTGTTCCGTGTGATGTTTCTCTACGTCAACCTCTTCCCAGGTGGTGTTCGCATATCACGTGATGTAGAAATCAAGTTAGTGGCATCCTTAACGTGTACTTTAAATACATCCCTCTTCTTCTTACCATGTTTGTGGCTTAAGTTGGTTTGTTCTCCTTAGAATTTCTGATGTTGCATGAAACGCTTTCAAAGGGACTGAAGATCTTTCACAGATCTTGTAGATTTCCATGACTCTGCTCCGTGAAGGATGAGAAACATGATGCCAGTGTTAAAAATTTGTATTTTTGTGTCGGTGCCAGTCACGCTACTTTCCCAAATCTTTTCAAGTTTATGAAACTTGGTTTTTGCTTTTGATGTTTGTTGCTTGACATCTAGCCTGGTGCCAGTATCCTTGCA